GTACCTTTCTTCCCACCAGATTCCCCAAGATGATGTGGCATTTTGTGTGACGGCCAATGCATGAGTACAGGGAGAAACTCAAAATGGAAGATCAGACCTCTAGTTCCTAGAAATCACTGCCAATTTCTTGGCATTGGGTCCAGACCTCTTATCAGGTTGCTGGGGTCCTCACCTCTCTCAAGTACTGTTGCCCTATACCTTCTCCCTTCTCCCTTCTCCCCTCTGGAGGCCCCAGCCCCTTCTCTTTAGGGCTGCCAGAGGGGAATCACAGAATTCTCGTTCTGTTGTGCTGAGCAATATACCTTGCTAGGCTTCAATCTCTTCATTCACACTATGTTTTAAGCCCATTAATGTGTATTCCTGATAAAAGAGACATTTGCCTTGGTTTTTCACCACAAGCAACGAAAGACAAAACCAAAAGAAACATTTACATGATGTTTTTATCAATTTAAAATTTTTCTCATGACTTCAAGCTTTTCCTAAACGTTACCTTCCCAGTGAGGTTTACAACGGCCGTGCCATTTAAAATAGGCAAGCTGTCGTCCTCTCCCTCCTGATCTTCTTACCCTGCTGTCTAAGATTGTGTTCCATGGAACAAAAGCGTGAGACCGAGAGAGGCATGCAGCAGGCTCGTGGGGGGTGCTCAGGGAGCACACACTTGTGAGGAAGCTGGGAAGGCAGGATGGGGAGAGAGAAGCCGGCACCCCGTGTGGTTGGCTGGCTGCCACTGAGGACTGAACCAGCCTTACAGGGAGCTCTGGAGCTGGGAAGGCCCTAGAGTGTCTCCAATTGAGGAAAGGGGCTGGGTCTTATATCCCAGGTCAGGCAGACTTGGTCATGGGCTTCACCCAGGAAAGGGCATAACTCTAAGCAAGACTGTTTCCAGAAGCTGAGGGATGCAACTGTGAGTCATCAGCCACCGATATCCCAGCAGCTCAGGGATGCAGATATCTTCGTCCTGAAGAGGAGGTCTGGACAGAGCCGCATAACATCCACTGTGCCTGCTCTACTTGACTCTTTCCCATGGCACCCACCACCTCATACCATGCTATACACAGTACTGTGATATTTATTGCATCCATTGTTTGTGGCTGGCCCCAGCTCCCTCTGCCACCAGCCCTGCTAGACTGCAAGCTCCATAAGAGCCAGGCTCTGGCTCTGCTTTGCTGGGGAAAGGGTTTTGCAGAACCATACCTGGCCCAGGTAGGCACTCCACAAGTATTTGATAAAAAATGAAAAGATTCACATGTCTTAAGTTAAATACTTAGGTAAGATCCAGGTGTTCCTCACACCAGCCATCACCATAGAGAAGGGAGTGGAAGATCTTTTCTCTCTCTTTCAGGACAAATCTGAAAGATATTTTCTTCTCCTCCCTACAACAGACTAGTCATTTCTGTGCACTCCTTGCTTGATGATTAGCAAGCTGTGTAACCTTAACTAGTCACTCATTCTTTCAGCACTGCCCTTCTTATTTGAAATCATTTTCGATGGATCGGAGTTGATGAAATTGACTTCCTGCTTACATATTCTGAGAATTTGTTGAACATCTGCAGATGGCCCAGCATTTTCCCTGTTATTATTTTAAAGATGCCAACTCTAAAATTCTGTGAAGTATAGGGCCACATAAAAGCACTCTTCTGATCCTTTGTGAATAGATAACTGCCGATCCTATTCTGAAGAAAGCCCAGGAAGTCAGTCCTGACAACATCCAGGAACACATTCTGGAACATATAGAATCACACAGTTAAAAAGTCTCCCTCTTTTCTAAATTCTTACTGCCACAACTAGTCATGTGTCTCTTTATAAATTAGCATTTTTCATCAAACTCTGAGTTCCTCTTAGAAAAAAACATGTACTGGCCAGGCGCGCTGGCTCATATGTGTAATCCCAGCACTTTGGGAGGCCAAGGCGGGCAGATCGCCTGAGGTCAGGAGTTCGAGACCAGCCTGACCAACATGGAGAAACCTTGTTTCTACTAAAAATACCAATTTTGCCGGATGTGGTGGGCACATGCCTGTAATCGCAGCTACTCGGGAGGCTGAGGCAGGAGAATTGGAAACCTGGAAGGCAGAGGTTGCGGTGAGCTGAAATCATGCCACTGCACTCCAACCTGGGCAACAAGAGTGAAACTCCGTCTCAAACAACAACAGCAACAACAACAATAACAACAACATATACCTTACTTGAAGCCCATCAAAGTGTCTGAAACATAGCAGACCCTTGGTAAATATCTGTGGAAACTGATTAACTAAAGGATCCATGGGTTCTAGGCTTGAAACTTTAAACTTCAGCATTCTCTTTTCCCCAAGTCTCGGTGTCAGTCAGCTGTTTTTGTTGAGCAGGCATTTGTTTTGCTGAATCTTCTGATTTCTTTTAAGGGAAACTAGAAATCTGGTATTTTACTTTAAATCTTCTGATTTGTAATTGTTGTCAATAAATTCAAATATTTTTATTAAAAATATAAAACTGTGGGAGTCATACAAAAACCCACTACTATGGCACCATTTTGTGACTTCTGGCCCAGAGCATGAAGTCCTATAGTGATGAGGTCAGAAGAATTCTTCCAGAATGTCATAGACAAAATGTTACAGAGAATGGGCTCCTGTTCTGTGCCGTTTTTAACCCTATTACAAACAGGAAGGCAGGCTCTCCCCCACTTCTCATTAACCACTATGTGGAGCAACAACAGCCAACTCTTTCAGTGAAGGCTTTGAGTACCTATCTCCATTTCTCTAAATAACATGCTTATATTGTAATTTCTTGATCTTTTTAAGCTTTAGACATTTGCTATGGACTTCCAACTCTGGAAGATGGCCCTTTGGTTCTCTTTCATACTACATCCTCAACATACACTCATATACATAACTTCCATGTCTTCCCATCCTACCACCAATGACACAGGTGAACACCAAAATCAGGGCTTAGCCCAGGTGGGTTCTTGGCTTCACATAGGAAAAAATTCAAGAGTGAGTCAACAAAATAAAGTGAAATCAAAGCAAGTTTATTAGGGCAACAGAGTATAGGAAAATGGTTGCTTCATAAGCAGAGCAGGGCTGCCCTATAGGCAGAGTAGCACTAGTGGATTGCTGGTTAGCTGTATTTATAACTATGCCTTAATTATATGCTAAATAAGGGGTGGGGTATTCACAAATTTTCTAGAGAAGGGGTGAGGAGCTCCTGGAACCAAGAGTTCCTCCCCTTTTAAACCATATAAAGTAACTTCTGGGCATTTCCATTAGTGCCATAGTGGTGTGGGAGTGTCTTTTAGCATGTAATGCATTATAATTAGCATATAACGAGCAGTGAGGGCAACTTGAGGTCACTTTTGCTGCCATCTTGGTCTTAGCTGGTTTTGTTCAGTCTCTTTAAGCATCCTGTTTTGACCAGATCCTGTTGGATCAGCAGGATTGGAACGAGTGCTCAGAAAACAAGTCTTGCTGATCTCCTACCTCACCAGTATTTTCTGTTATTAAGTTTAATTGGATCGCTATCCACTGCTTACATTACCGTGACTGTGAAGATGCCATTCACAACTGAGCCACATAGTATACTATGATGACTTTTTCTTTCCTAAAAACTGTTTTTCTAGAAGTTAATAATCATTCTCTTTCTTTTGCTTAGTTAGTTTTTTCTGTACCTTCCACTCATTCAATCCCAAATTCTCAACCACCTATTAAGCCTTTCAATATTTTCAGGTTATTGGGCCATCTGGGACTCTTCTGGAGGTTTCTGATGATTTAGATCAGGAACGAGTGCCCTCTCTGCCCAGGGTGAAGCAGTCTTCCCAGGATGTCTGGAATATCCTTCTGCCTTTTCCATGTATTAATTCCCCCTCTTCTAGCATTCTATGCATCCTTCTTTCTTATTTCCTTGTTTTGGAGAAGCCAATCCTCCAATAGCTTCTTGAATAACATGAGAGGTAAATGTTTTGAACCTTACATATCTAGGAAATGTCTATTATTCTCCCATACACTCAAGTAACCGTTTGAGCACAGAGTTCTAGGATGGAATTAGTTTTCCTTTAGGTATTTCAAAGCATTGCTTGATTATCCCCTACCTTCCAACAATATCATTGAAAAGCTTTTCTAAATACTGTTTCTTTTATGTGACCTCTTTTCATTTTCTCTCTCTTATACTTTCTGGTGGGTCATGTTTTATTTCCATTTACTAAAATTTGGGGAAAATCTTATAGATGTGTGGATTCACCCTGTCACCTTTACCCTGAAATTCCAATCATGTATTTCTACTCCCCCATGACTGAGCAAGTTAGAAGCTGCCCATGTAATCACATTACAAAGGCTATTGGGATAACACCAGAAGAGCTGCAGTCTCTCATGTGAGGTGAGAACTACACAATAACAAAAAATGAAAAAACAAGCTAGACACCAAAACCTCACTAAACAGCAACTTGGACGAAAAGACTCTCCAGCTGGCCTTTCCTGGTCCCCAACCCCAGAAGACAGGCAACCCCTTGACCTGCTTCACAAGATTCCTCAGGATTTGCCCAACTGCCAGAAGGTCTGCTTGGCTGGTGTGGGTGGACATTCAGGCATGTTAGTGAGTTCTGTTTCTTATACATTGGACTTGCCAGTTTAGTGTTTGTTACTTCATCCTTGGAACTGAATGTGAATTCTGTAATCCTAAAAGACATATGGGAGGCCGAGGCTAGTGGATTACTTGAGGTCAGGAGCTCAAGACCAGACTGGCCAACATGGTGAATCCCTGTCTCTACTAAAAATACAAAAATTAAAAAAAAAAATAGATATGCTTCTAAAAAACCACAATGCAACGATCGCAACTCAGAAATTCCCTACAGTAATTCCCTACTGTCACCTAATATCTAGTGTGTATTCCAATTTCCTCAACTATTCCCTAAATGTCTGTCTTAGATGGTTGTTTTTTTTTTTCCCTGTTCTTTACCACCTTATTGGTGGTTGTTGTTTTGACCGAGGATCTGAGGTAAATATTCTTCATTTGATTCTTATGTCTCTTTTTTTTTCCAGTGGAAAGTAACTTTTATTGAGACCCCACCAGCTACAAAATCTGTTCCTGGCATTAAGCTCCTTCTTTCTTTGCAATTTGGTCTTTCTTGAGTGGTCCTATGAATGCTTTCTTCTCCTCCATGGTCTGGAAGCGGCCATGGCCAAACTTGGAGGTGGTGTCAATGAACTTAAGGTCAATCTTCTCCAGAGCTCATTGCTTCGTCTCCACCAGCAAGGACTTGCGGAGGGTAAGCACCCGCTTCTTAGTTCCCACCACACAGCTTTTCAGCATGACAAAGTCATTGGTCACTTCACCATAGTGGACAAAACCACCCAGAGGGTTGATGCTCTTGTCAGACAGGTCATAGTCAGTGGAGGCATTGTTCTTGATCAGCTTGTCGTCCTTGATAAGGTAGCCCTGGCCAATCTTATAGATGTTCTTGCTGATCTCAGTGCAGTGATGGTAGCCTTTCTGCCCAGCGCGTGCCACGAGGGGTTTCCACGTAGCCCACAATGCCCACAACCACCATGGGTGGCGTCTCCACAATGGTCACAGCCTCCACCACCTCCTTCTTGTTCACCTTGGATCCTGGCTTGTCGACTTCCCGCTCGATGTGGGTCATCCCAGCCTTGTATCCCAGGAAGGCTGTGAGGTGGACCGACTTGGACAGGACATCCTTAAGGAAGCTCTTCACCTTCCCACGATGCCTGCTGCTGCGCCTCCAAGGCAGGAAGCCGAGGAACCCATGTCTGGGAGTGGAGAACTTTCTGTGAGACAAAATCCCGCCAGTAGAGGGATACTTATGTCTCTTTAGACTCTTTTAATCTTTTCCTCTAGAACGGTCCCCCCAACCACTCCCCCGACACACACTTTTTAATCATGATGTTGATTTTCTTCCTGAGTCCAGGACAGTCTTCTTGTAAAATTTCCCCTATTCTTGATGTGTCGGGTTGCTTCCTCATCCTACTGGGTAACTTGTCCTTAGCCTGCCCCCGTATCTCCAGTAACTTGAAGGATGGGTCTAGAGGCTTGATGAGATTCAGAATGAAGATTTGGCCAAGAGCACACCCTGAGTGAGACTGTGTGTTTTATGCTGCAGCCCATCAGGAGACCCACAGAGTTGGGTAGTGTCACAATGGGTGCTATCAAGTTTGACCATTTCAGCCAAGTGTTGACCACCAGATCTCTCCATCATGAAGGTGCTTTTATCCCATGCAATTAGCAAACAACTCTGGAGAGACTGGCACATGTGGGTCCCCTGTGCCTCAACCGTCCACCCAATGGCTTGGCCCCATTGATGATCCTTTAGGATAGCAATTGTTCCATGAACAGCCCATCAGTTGTAAAATGCCTAATGGATAGCTGGGAAGAAGAGAAAGGAGGGTTGAGGGAAGACACAGAGAACAAGGAATAAGGAGCTGGAAACAGGGAAGACAATTCTGAAAGCTTTGCTGAGGCCTTCCCCTATTTATATTCAACTTTTCCAGAGTCATGAGCCCTTTAAGGAAATGCTGGCCTGAAGCAATGACCAAAGAGGGTCTTCTGCACAGGCCTGCTGCATTAGCAAAAAAAGAAATGCATTTCAGTGAGTCCAGGTATCTAAATTTTGTTCTGAACTTAATCTCTGACCTTAGCCAAGAAAGAGCTAACAAATCAGGAGGATGTGTACAGCCGCACCCCAGATAGGGTATTTGGACAGCAGATTTACATGCAACAAGAAAGACGCTGTGCCCGCTCAGGGCACCTGGACCTCTTTGTACAGGGCTCGTTTATTCAGCACACCCAACAACAGGCATTCATCCAGAACTCTCAGTTCCAAATCATTGCTTCTTTCAAAGCAGTACTCGCTCCACTGTTCAGAAACAAGTTTCTTTGAAAGACACAAGTGGTCACTTTGCTGACCAGTTCAACCTATGTGTTGTCTTAGGCAAACTGTTTTCTTTCAGATTTTAGGACATTATGTGTGTCTCTATGAAGAATCTGGTGGATGCCTGCATCAAAAAGTATTTCCCATAGACTCATATACTATTTATTTATTTATTTATTATTATACTTTAAGTTCTGGGATACATGTGCAGAATGTGAAGATTTGTTATTGACTCATATATTTAAACTACTTCAGTTTATCTCGAAACACATGTCTTTTAAAAGACATCCCAACATTGAAAACTTTGTTTTCTATTGCCCAGGCTGGAGTGCAGTGGCTCAGTCTTGGCTCACTGCGACCTCGGCCTCCCGGGTTCAAGCGATTCTCCTGCCTCAGCCTCCAGAGTAGCTGGGACTACAGGTGCGCACCACCATGCCCGGCTAATTTGTGTATTTTTAGTAGAGACAAGGTCTCGCCATATTGGCCAGGCTGGTCTTGAACTCCTGAGCTCAGATGATCCACCTGCCTCGGCCTCCCAAAGTGTTGGGATTACAGGCATGAGCCATCGTGCTCAGCCTGATTCTGTGGCATTCTGATTAGACTTATGACCATTAAGAGCCCTAGCCTCCAAAACAGAAATTAAAGTTTACTCCAATACACATAAGGGGCAAACAGAAACTCTCTGGCAAAGAGTTGACAATTAAGCAGGGGCAGTAAGTCTAGAAATTCTATAATACACAGCACAGCATGAGGCTGGCAGCAGGAACCTGGCAGGAGGCTGCGGGAGGGCAGGGCAGAACACTTCTCTGACTTGAAGAAGGAGAGGAGGTGTCTCCTGAGGGACTCCCCCAGGAATGGAAAATTATTCCCCACGGTGGGAACTGACTCCTGGGAAGTCTGCCAGTGCTGAGTCACCAGGTCATTATGAAAGCCTGAAGCAGGCTACTCTCCACAAGCTACAGTTTCACGACTCCCTAGAAAGGACTAGAATTATTTCAGGGTTTTTTTTTTTTTCAAACCTTGTATTTTTAAAATACGTGTTTCAAAACGATGAAAATTTAAATTCACTTTAGTTTTATTGTAATGGATGCATTATTTCTAAGAAGAGGGAGAAAAGAAAATCCTATTATCAAGCAAAAGTTCCAGCTCCTGACAGGCTGGGAATTTGGAATCACTGCCCCGGAGAAGCAAATGCTAGATAAATGCTGAATTGGCAAATTCTTCAGATGCTTTTTTTTTTTTTTTTTAAATAAAGAACTATAGTGCCTCTTTTCAACAGTTTTACCCTATGCCTGCCTCCCAGGCTTCTGGACTCCCCCACCCCATCTTTTGTGCCTTGCCTTGTGCTACTTCATCACCAACAAATTTCTCCTCAGCCTTCCAATTCCCTCCTGCAGAAGTGGACACAAATTTGCGGGAGATTAACTTTACAGGGACGGAAAAGCCCAACTAAGCAAAACATTCTAAGCATTCAAAAGGACCTGGCCAGAAGCTCTTCATGTAAGAAATTTATTGCCAATTACACAATCTCACTATCGGTATCAGCAGTGGAGCACTTGAAGGGCAGGAAACCAATTCTGACTTTAAAAATAAAATCAGCCAGGCGCGGTGGCTCAAGCCTGTAATCCCAGCACTTTGGGAGGCCGAGACGGGCAGATCACGAGGTCAGGAGATCAAGAACATCCTGGCTAACACGGTGAAACCCCGTCTCTACTAAAAAATACAAAAAACTAGCCAGGCGAGGTGGCGGGCGCCTGTAGTCCCAGCTACTCAGGAGGCTGAGGCAGGAGAATGGCATAAACCTGGGAGGCAGAGCTTGCAGTGAGCCGAGATCTGGCCACTGCACTCCAGCCTGGGCAACAAAGCAAGACTTTGTCTCAAAAAAAAAATAAATAAAAAAATAAATAAAATTCAGAGGGGAAAAAATCAGCCTGATGCTTCTGATGCACATTAATATTGTGTGGTTTTTTTTCCTAACAGACATAATAATATTATTTCTAATAATGAAGGAGAATGGCATTATTCTTTCTTTTAGAGTGTTCAGATTTGGAATACCATTCTTTGTGTTAGGGTTTTGAAAAATTCTGTTTGAAAGTTCTATTCCCGTCCTTTCAACCATATTCTCTTTTGCTCTTCTCTTTTCTCATTAAACAAACAAACAAAACACCAAACCTGTGTCATCTCTTGCAATATCTGACATGTGACTATTAAACAAGGGGACATAGAGTTCCTGTCCTGGCTGCTGAAACAGAGCTGCTTAAATAAAACAGCCCCTTTCATTCCACTGAACCTTAAGGTCCACGATCCTAAGCCCAAATTGACAAATGGATTTCCTTCCAGCTCACCTTGAAACACCTTTGCCATCGAGAAGAACCCTTCTTCTTTGCTTCTGAACTCACAAGCGGGGCTACCTGAGGAGCAGACACATTAGTACCTTGGACCACCAAACGCAGGAGCATCCAAATTAAAGGATTGTCCATTGAAGACATAGTAAAAATAAGTAGAAAAGACAGCCCGAGAGAGGTCAGAATGGGAGCCACCACAAAGGCAGTGATGTTGGCCATCATTTCATAGTTTTCAGTTAGTTCTGTCCCCAGCACCATCCTTGTCATTAGAAGAGATGTGGGCTGGTACAAAACTGTGCAGGTCAACCTAGCAAGATATTCAGACAAGGGGAAGAGGACAAAGGGCCCACTTGCAACCACTGTAAGAATTATAAATGTTATCGTAAAGGATGAAATACTCAAACTATATTACAGGATAGAAATTGCAAGTCATTTAAAGATCTAAAGAAATTAAAAAACTCATGTACTCTGTGGTAGCTTTCGAAACTTGAGCTTTAAATAATTACTGCTTTATTTAAATCTTTTTTTTTCTTCTCTTTCTGCCTTTAACTTGTCTGCTTACTGCGAACGTTGAATAATTAAAAAAAAAGAGTCTTTGCATCTTCTCTTGTTTGTACCTTTGATATCAAGGAATCCCACTTTTTGGCTGAGCACAGTGGCTCACGCCTGTAATCCCAGCACCTTGGGAGTCTGAGGCGGGCAGATCACTTGAGGTTCGGAGTTTGAGACCAGCCTGGCCAACATGATGAAACCCTGTCTCTAACTAAAAATATGAAAATTAGCCAGGAGTGATGATGCACACCTGTAATCCCGGTTACTCAGGAGGCTGAGGCATGAAAGTCGCTTGAACTCAGGAGGTGGAGGTAGCAGTGAGCCAAGATCGCTCCAGTGCACTCCAGCCTGGGTGATAGAGTGAGACTCTGTCCAAAAAAAAAAAAAAAGAAAGAAAGAAAGAAAGAAAAGAAAAGAAAAAGTGGCCGGGCGCAGTGGCTCACGCCTGTAATTCCAACACTTTGGGAAGCCGAGGCAGGCAGATCACCTGAGGTCAGGAGTTCGAGACCTGCCTGACCAACATGGAGAAACCCCATCTCTACTGAAAGCACAAAATTAGCCAGGCATGGTGGCACATGCCTGTAATCCCAGCTACTAGGGAGGGTGAGGCAGGAGAATCATTGGTACCTGGGAGGCAGAGGTTGCGGTGAGCCGAGATCATGCCATTGCACTCCAGCCTAGGCAACAAGAGCGAAACTCCATACCAAAAACAATAATAATAATAAATAAATAAATAAAAAGAAAAAGCAATCCCACTTTGCAAACTGGTCAGCGAGAACTTCCAGGAGCAGACAACACTGCAACCTTGGCAAGTGTCAAGGCCCTGGGATCAGGCTGCTGAGATTCAGTCCTGACACTGAACTAGGCAAGTGGTTTAACCTCACTCTACCTCAGTTTCTTCACTGGCAAAATGGGGACAATCAGTACACCTATCTCACGCCAAGTCAATTAAATTAAAGAATCCAGGCAAAGTGTTCAGCACCGTGCCTGAGAGCCAATCCTGACTGTTACGATGATGACGGGCATCGCTATCTCCATGTGCCCCCCAAGCAATCCCAGCTCATCTCTGAGCATTTCCTCTGCTTCTCCTGAAGAGCTCTGGACAAAGGCAAAGGAACGTCCTCCTCTGAGAGGGAAGCTTTGGCTGTCAAATAAATAAAATATGGAATCACAAATAATTAAATAACAATTTGAAAAAAGAATGTCGACATTCACACTAGGGGTGATCTGGTCCAATTGTTACTGGAATGTTTATGTTCCATGTACTGTATTTTTGTATTTGTTCAGTTTATTTATTTATTTATTTATTTATTTATAGAAATAAAGTATTTGAGGCTATATTTGCAGGCTTAAAATGCCTTTTTTTTTTGCTTACAGAGGAAACAAGTTTGCTTCAAAATCTGATTCTTTATCTAAGTAAATTCACCGAATGACTAGTTGGCATTACACAAAAGTGGCACAAAAGATTGTTAAATCTCAAGAAAATTGATGTCTCTCATTCATTAGCAAGATCAACCATTTTTGACCTTTGATAGAGAATCAAGCTAATAGTGAATGCTCATCCCTTCACCAAGCATGAAGCCCTATCTGCCTCTGCGTTTCCAAAAGGTCCCCAAGGTTTGCCACCTTGAAGGTGGGGTTCACCTGAGCCTAGGGGAACCTGCTTCTCATGTGTATGCCTTCCCAAGGCTACAGGGTATTTGGTGGTTGAGTCCTCTTCCTACAAAAGCCAAAATGGTGAAGGGTGTGGGGTGTGGACCAGTTTAAATAGAAGGCAGAGCAGAAGTGGGCTGACATGCTCATCATATGAGCCTTCCAGCGGTCTATGGTATCCTTCTCGTTTTTTTGTAGAACTGTCTATAGAATGAGCTTTACTTATACTGTGAGTCTAAGCATTCAGTCTTGCCATGAATGCTTCACACAATTCCTACCAACCACCATGAGGTAAGAATCCCATCCTCCTTCCTTAGGTTCCCAAGAACTAATCACTTTGATTCACAAAGGCTTCATTTTACCCCATCCAGACATGCATGGGTTGTTTTGCCTATTGCTTTTGATCTGTTTGTTAGTCTAATACTGACAAGCATGTATCTGTTCATTCACTTTAGAAATGAAGCTCGAATCTTATGTGTCCTGGCTTTCTTAAGCAAGATAAAGTTAAGAAAATGCTTTAACCAAAGGAGAAGTTAACAAAGTTATGGTAAAATAGAGACTAAGAAATTGAGATATTAGCACTCAGTGGTGAGAATTTACCTAACCAAATCCATCCCCTCTAAAATAGAGATAATAGTATCAGCCTGACTGGTAAAGCTATTCTTCAGAAAACAAACAAACAAATAAAACAAAACACAAATAAACAAACAAAAAAACCCGAAAAGTCCAAATCCACTTCCTAGACCAGTGGTATTTTCTAACTCTATTCTATTTCATTTTAAGATGTTGATGTGACTTAGTAAATAGTTACAGCTCACAGTTTGAAAAAACATGCCCTAGAAAATTACCTCCTGGGCAGCTGTCTAATGAGGTCAAGCAAAGGGCTCCTGAGGCAAAGCCTAGTTTTCCCATTCTCATGCAGTCCCTGCTTGCACTACTTCATCACTGTTTCCCAAATGCCAGTGATAATATTATTCTGACACTTGTTATAAGAGTAGGGAAGACTTTATCCAAGATTACTGCAGGACGTGGTGGCTTAAACCTAAAATCCCAGCACTTTGGAGGGTCAAGGCAGGAGGATCACCTAGGAGGCCAGGAGTTTGAGACTAGCCTGGGCAACATAGGGAGACCCTGTCTCTACCAAAAAAAAAAAAATTTTTTTTAAAGGACTATTGCAATAGGGACAGTGCAATAAGGGAGAGAGATTGGGCTCAACTCCAAATACAACAAAGACTGCTGGGGCCAAGGAACAAGGTGGGAATGATTGGATGAAAAATTACCAAGAGAACACATCAAGGGTACAGAGATTCTTGCAAAACTGACCTAACAGAATTCTTGCTAAAGGCAGGCCAAGGATATATACATCAAAAGTGAGGGATGTTAGAAATGAAAGTGTGAAAGTGCAGTGAGAAAAGAAAATGTGGTACATAAAGAACTTGGTCACATATTAAGGGTGATCATATATCAAGGGTGAGGGATTCTTGCTAAACTGACTTAGCAGGATTCTTGCCAAGACTGGGCAGTGCAGGCTCGGCAATGACTAAGACCAAGGTCAAGGCCTAGTCGATAAGAGAGCTCAGAGGAGCCTGACTAAGCCTTGGCCAAGAAGAGTCTTTGCCACTGGCTGTGGTAAACAGAAAGATGGAAATGACTTTGTTATCACTACTGGAGGAAAAATCTCTCAGATACTGAAGTTGTCTTGCAGAAAGCAGGATTACCTAATGGTTCAAAGCATGGCCTTTAGGACTTCTAACTAAATGTGGCAGATTGACCTCCAGAGGCAGGAAAGGAGTTAAAAGACATCAGATGAAGAGACTTTAGCAAAGGAGAGATTTCAACAGGTGTTTATTATTATTATTATTTTGGAAGATGGAAAGCAGATAAAGAAACGGTACAGATTTAGGAGTAAGTTGTGAGCTAGGGTGCCCGCAAGGGGAAGGGGGAGAAGAGGGTGTGAGAAGAGGCCAGTCCTCTTCCAGGACTCTGAGAGCATAAGCTAAGGCACCAGATGCCTTAAAAGACAGGTGCAAGGCTTGAGTGGGAGCAGAGTGAAAGTCAGAACATGGTCTAGTTGGATCTCCATATGCCCTTTTCTTCCTTTGACCACAGCAACTACCCTCCAGCCCATACATACTACTTCACTTCTACCCGACCCAAGCCAGAGACTGGCAATTACACTCTGGGAGAAATTAACCTGAAATTCTCTAGACTTCGGGTCATCAGACACAGTGTAAAGTAGGGGTCAATAAAATTGAAGGGACGGGTGATAGGGGTAAGTTTGCACTGTGGAGACTGAGACACACAGGGATTCCCACTTCATCACCTCTCCCTGCCCCCGCTCATGGCTAGTATTTTATCAACCAGGGTATAGATATAGACATTTGTTTCCTGGATAGACTAAATGGTCCCAGAAAAAATAAAAATAAAAAGGAAGCCTTTAGATATTGGAATATGGGAGTCCCCACAAAAATGTCCAGCTCACCACTTACCCTACTTTGATGCCCACCAGTTAAAAGCCCAACCTTGAAAGCACAGAGCTTCCAAGCAGCTAAGGTCTCTAGGCAGGCAAAGCAAGACTTCAAGATTTAGAAACCAAAACAGACACAACAAAAATAAGAACCCAGGAGAAACAGAGACAATGCAGGAAAGAAAACTTCTAAAATAAAAATAAATCAGGTTACTCTCCTTAGAAAGAGAGAGATGATGTTGAATATATAGAACCAGAATAAAATGCTTTTAATGTAAAGCAATCAGAAAACAAGAAATCTGATCATTAAAATTCTAACAAACAATTGAAAGATAAGTCAAAGAAATCTCCCAGAAAATAAAACCAGAGGAAAAAAAGAAATAAGAGAGATGAAAGAACAGACTTAAAAGCTCAATCCACAAGTTTCAAATGGAATAGCAGGAATTTCCGAGGCAATACATAAATTGGAAGGAAGGAAATTCTATATAAAGAAAAGTTCCTATAACTAAGTTTCTCTAACTAAAAGCTAAGATTCTCAAATTGAAAAACACCACTAAAATAATAAATTTTAAAAAATACACACCAAAGTCCTGTGCCATAAAATTTCAAAATACCAGGGTTAAAAAGAGAATTCTAAAGGGAATACATAGCAAACCAAAAAAAAGGGGATCAAATGGCTTCAGATTTCTCTCCAGCAACACCTACTACCAGAAGACAATGGAGCAATGTTTCACAATTTTGAGGAAAGATCGTTTATAGTCTGAAATTTTAAACTTGTCCAGTTACAATTAATGTGAATAGTAGGACATATACATTTTTAGACATGTAGGAACTCAAGAAAAATTACCTTCCATGCATGCTTTCTTACGAAGCTGCTAGAAGATCTGCTCCAGCAAAACAAAGGAGTAAATCAAGAAATAGGAGGGTATGAAATCCAGGAAACAGGACATCCAGCACAGGAGAGGGAAAGGGAAAATAGCCGATAATGCTGAAAGAAAGGTCAGCATGTAGCTGACTAAGAGGGGGCTCCAGGGAAGGGTCTCCAGGAAAAGTTTGTGAAAAATAAGACTACAATTTCAGAATTTTTAAATAGAGACCTTATGTTGATAAGGTCTACATTGCAGGAAGCCAGAGATTGAGGTCTACTACACTTCAATTTTTTTTTTTTTTTTTAAAGACAGAATTTTGTTCTTGTTGCCCAGGCTGGAGGGCATGGGGCAATCTTGGCTCACTGCGACCTCGGCCTCCCAAGTTCAAGCGATTCTCCTGCCTCAGCCTCCCCAGTAGCTGAGATTACAGGCATGTGCGACCACACCTGGCTAATTTTGTATTTTTAGTAGAGACAGAGTTTCTCCATGTTGGTTGGGCTGGTCTTCAACTCTAGACCTCAGGTGATCCGCCCACCTCGGCCTCCCAAAGTGCTGGGATTACAGGCGTGAGCCACCACGCCCAGCCCATACTTCAATTCTTTAACAAATAAAAGCGACTGACTTTCTTTTATGAAGGAGTATATCCAAAAGTTGACTTATCTCCTTGAGATAATCAAGGAGGGAAGAGATCCTGTGACATTCAGCAGGTAAGGGGAAGGCAGATCCTAGAACTAAAAGTTAGCACACTTCAAATGTGCTATTTAAAAGGGGAATGGAGGGGCGGAGCAAGATGGCCGAATAGGAGCAGCTCCAGTCTCCAACTCCCAGCGCGAGCGACACAGAAGACCGGTGATTTCTGCATTTTCAACTGAGGTACTGGGTTCATCTCACTGGGGAGTGCCGGACGATCGGTGCTGGTCAGCTGCTGCAGCCCGACCAGCGAGAGCTGAAGCAGGGCGAGGCATTGCCTCACCTGGGAAGCGCAAGGGGGAAGGGAGTCCCTTTTCCTAGCCAGGGGAACTGAGACACACAACACC